GAAATGTCTCTCTGTACTTTGCTCCTTTACAGTCAAAAATTCAAAGAAAACACAATAATATACAAAATCCATACTCTCTGAATTTTTCATTTTTACGTGGTTTGTTTTTTTTTTACTCCTTTTCATCTATGACTATCTGTACTCTGTCTCTTTAAAGACTTTACCCTTTTTTTTAAACCATTAACTTCCTTTTATGACTCTCTATAATCTTTTTCTTCTCACTTCTAAGCCTGTATACCTTTAAACAACACTATGACTCATCTGGATTTGTCTTTATTGCATATCTGTAATTTTTACTGTCCAAGAGTACTTTTTAAAATGCTAAGTGCTTTTAAAAACTTAACGCTGCACCATTACTATGGTATATATGGTACTTTCTGCTTTCCCCACCTGGTCCAGCATGGTGGAGCTGCTCACACTTCTGAGTGTCATGCAAACCACCCTACTCTCAGGCACACAGCAAGTCCATGTTGCCATTAAGCAAGCTGCAGCAGTTTGCTCACAAACCCCACTCAAATGCTTTGTAGCTGGACCTCCTGCCTGAAAGAGTTTGCACTGGCAGGATAGCCCAGAATGCCAGCATTTCAAAGTGGCATGGCTTTTTTTCTTTTGCTACAACTGGATCAGGAAAACCTTTCTTAAAGGAGCTGCTGCATGCTGCCAGCAAACAGCAAGAAGCTGTGTTAAACTCTGTATTTTTTTTTTTTTTTGTCTAGAATTACTTTTCAAACTCTCTCAGGTTTTAAGTGGATTTAGTTGGCCCCAAGTTGGGCACCAATTTGTTGAAGAAGCTGCTTGTTTGGTTCCCAGTAAAAGGAATTACTCATTAGCTTTGGTCATCAACAAAAGCTAGCAATTAGAGTATGTCAGCTAGTAATAATTGGGCTGCTTTGTTCTTGTTCCCTGACCTTAAAAGAGTTTATTTTGCGGTTCAGAAAATGAGTTTATTATAGATGAAGATATAAAAAAAATGGGGCAGACAGAACTTGTGCATAATGGCAGCAGTGGGTTCCAAAAGGGGACTTCCACTGTTAGAAGTAAATACAGAGCAGCAAAGAAAAAGAATTCAATAGGGACAAACTTTACTTCTGCTCACAAGCATGTACTACTCAGCAAAGCAGAAGAGCAAGTAAGCAAAGTCAGGAAGTTCAGGTGGTTTTATTCTAAAGCTGGCAGTGTCTGTGTCGCTCCTCACCTCACAGTCTTTTGTGATTGGCTATTTTTTTTATATTCTTTTTTTTTTTTAGGCTTCATCCCAGGGATGCAGGGCTGGTTCAACATATGAAAAACTATCAATGTAATCCACCATATAAATAAATTGAAAGAAAAAAACCATATGATCATTTCATTAGATGCTGAAAAAGCATTCGACAAAATTCAACATCCCTTTATGATAAAGGTCTTGGAGAGATTAGGGATACAAGGGTCATACATAACTATAATAAAAGCTATCTATAGCAAGCCGACAGCTAACATCAAATTAAATGGAGAGAAACTCAAAGCCATCCCACTAAACTCAGGAACACGACAAGGCTGTCCACTCTCTCCATACCTCTTCAATATAGTGCTTGAAGTTCTACCAATAGCAATAAGACAACATAAGGGGATCAAGGGGATTTGTATTGGAAAAGAAGAAGTTAAACTTTCATTATTTGCAGTTGATATGATAGTGTACATAAGCGCTCCCAAAAACTCCAGCAAAGAACTCCTACAGCTGATCAATTCCAAAAACTCAGTTGCCCTCCTATACTTAAAAGAGTTTTGCATTCAACTTTGTGCCTTATTAAAACTTTAAGTTGCCTTCTTGTTTTTTTTAACCTCAGTGTTGTTTAACAAAAACATCTTAGTCTAACTTTGTTATTTTCAAAGCTTTGTTTTAGCTATGATGCACTCTGAGACCTGTAAACATATCTCCCAACATGAATGTTAAAAGGATTTAAACTAACTGAGCTATTGGGACTCAATTGTTAGTCATTAACTTAACTATAATCAATGCAACTGTAAGGGGAGACTGCTTGTTCATTTCCTGGCTGCCCAGACCCAAATAATCACACAGAAACTGTATTAATTACAACATTGGTTAACCAACAACTCAAGCATATTTATAGCTAGCTCTTATATCTTAAATCAAGCCATTTCTATTATTTTGCATTTTACCACAAAGCTTGTGGTTTGTTATCTATTGCTTTTTGGGCAGCCACATGGCATCTGCCTTTTTCTGCAGCTACATAACGTCTTTCTGACTCTGCCTACTCTCTTTATATATCTCTTCCTTGTAATAAGAGCGGCGGGGCTGCGTCCCCGGCACCCGGCCACCCTCATGGCTAGCTTTACCCGAAATAATTACACGGGAACTGTATTCTTTTAAACACTGCTTGGCCCATAAGTTCCAGCCTCTTATTGGCTAGCTCTTACATATTAATCTAACCCATTTCTAATAATCTGTGTAGCCCACTAGGTGTGGCTTACCAGGGAAGATCTTAACCTGTGTCTGTCTGGAGTGGGAGAATCATGGCGACTCCCAGACTCAGCTTCTTTCTCCCAGCATTCTGTTCTGTCTACTCCGCCTACCTAATTTTCTATCCTATGAGGGCCAAGGCAGTTTCTTTATTAGTTAACCAATGAAAGCAACAGATAAGATACAAGACCCACCTCCATGCAGCTACATAATGTCTTTCTGACTCTGCCTACTCTCTTTATATATCTCTTCCTGCCTGGCTATATTCTGCCCTGCTATAGGCAGAAGCAGCTTCTTTATTAATCAATGACAATAATGAATATTTATAGCATGCAGAGGGGAATCCCACATCATACAACTTTTTAGGTGAGATTCATAGACCCTGACTGTGAAACATCCTTCATCAAAACTTTGCTTAAGCTATTATTAAATTATACAGTACAGCTTATGGGAGCTGTCATCTTCTTGACAATCCACAGGTAAAATTTACCCAGTAGAATGGGCTGTTTCCATAAGATAAACACATTATATCACAGGCAGTGGAGATCTCCCCGCATCCACTCATACCATGCTAGGTACCAGAGAAAGAAAACTGCAGCAAACATGTAAAGGCACAGCAGAAGCAAAAGGCATTCTGGGGTTTGTAGTCCTGTGTCCTTGCCTAAAGGAGTTGAGCTCATCGGAGGATTCCCTTCTGGTGGGCTGACACCTAGAACTTCAACTACAACTCGCTGTTCCTCTGGCATGACCCACGGCAGTGTGACACAAGCATTTAAATTTAGCGCACGGGCTTCAGAGATGACTTAGTAATTAAGACCACTGGCTGCTTTTCCAGAAGACCTATGTTTGATTCTTAGCACCCACATGGCAGATTACAACCGTTTGTAACTCCAATTCCAGGGGTATTCAGTGCCCTCTTCAGTTCTCTGTAGGTACCAGGCTTGCATGTGATACACAGACACACATTTAGACAAAAAGCCATTACACTTAAAGTAAAAAAAATAAAACTTTAAAAATAATAACTCATAGTGCATATGCAAACATGTGATGCATTGATGTCAGCACACTTCCTTATACTTGTCCTTAAAAAACCCCACTTTTAAATATCGTGTGTAAATCTCAGAGCTACCTAGCAACTGAAACTACCTTTCTCCCCTAATTCAAGGTTACCATTCCCTGAGAAACTGTTTCATGTCTTCTAGAGCCTCAGCATCCTTTTGTATCATTCTCATGGATGATCTTCTCTTTTTATTTCTCTGAGAATGAAGCAATCAGAGGAAAAGACTTCAGTAATTTCATTACATTTCCAACTCTCTGCATCATTACCCATATTGGGGGTTTTTCCTTTCTGTGAGAATACGGTTGCCCCTTTGTACCCATCGATTCAAGTTTTATGGACAAGAAATATTTGGGAAAAATTTGCATCTGGGAATTTTTTTATTGATCATTAAAATCATTCTTTAATTTTTTTTTTTACTTTACATACCAGCCCCAGTTCCCTCTCCCTCCATTTCTCCCATCCTCCCCACCTCCTCCTATTCCACCCCCCATCCACTCCTTGGAACAAGGCCTCCCTTGGGGTACCAAAAAAGTCTGGCATATGAAGTTGAGGTAGGACCAGGCTTCTCTCTCATGCATTAAGGATGAGTAAGAAATCCCACCATAGGGAATGGACGCCAAAAACCCAGTTCATAAAAACATTCTTTATAGACTTATTTTATCTCAAGTTATTCATTAATCATATAAAAATCATTTTTTCATTGAAAGAAATAGAATCAAAGTATTCAAAAGTTAAGGTTTTTCTTCAATGAAATAAGACTTCAGTTCCTAAATTTTTTGAAGCATCAACTTTGAGTACTTAGTTTTGTTTTTGTTTTTTTTACTTGCAAGGTAATAAACACTATAATGCCCTTAATTAAGTTCATTATGATGTTTCTCCTTAACTTTTGTAAGCGCAAGGATCTTTATTAAGCTGAAAGGAGTAGAAATCTATTACTCTAGGGACCCACACTGTTTAAAAGAAGCTAATTAGAAAGCTGGATGAGGCCTAGATTTCAAGAAAGGAATCTCACTCCTGAGACTGGAACCTTAGTTGCTTCAAAATAGGGCAATTAATTCTCTCCTTCCTTCTTTTAACTTGACTCTCCCTCCTGATGAAACTAGAGGTGTTGCCAGATGGTCGAAGTCTTTGCTACTAAGTGCATTATTATTTCCGATGTGAAATCAGCTTTGGGCTTCTGTGTAAGTTACTTTTCTGATTAAGCGTAATAACTTTGATTTACTTGAGATGAGTAGTCCAGGGTTTGATAGAGAGGGTGCTTTTTCCATGATCCAGATTAGTTACACTGCCTTGTTAGATAGCATTGTGCACAATTTTTTAGAAAATAGGAACTCAAAACTTTGTTTCTAAGTAAGATTCTTCTTACATTGCCTTTATAGTTCAGGGAAATGAGCACTTTTCATAGTTTAACTATTTTTCTTTCTCTTCTCATTCCCTTTCCATATCCCTTTTATATTTCACCCACACCAAAATACCTTTCAGAAACACAAAGTAGATCTTTTCTACAAACTACGCCATGTGATGAATGAACTCATTGACCTTCGAAGGCAGCTACTGTCTGGTCACCTGACACAGGATCAGGTGCGGGAGGTTAAGCGGCACATCACCGTACGACTGGACTGGGGTAATGAGTAAGTATGACTATTACTTGGACATCTCTCAGTTTTATTGTAACTCAGTCCTCATAGAATTTAAACTTGAGTAAGCTTCTCTTTAATGATTCAAAGATAATATATCTTCTGTACAGTTTTTATAGGTATCATTGTTTCTTCCAGTTATCAAAGGGCATTCACTAGTTCTAGTCTTGACGTTTTCTTACCCTGTATTTTATTTCTGTTAAGAATTAAAGAGTTGGTTGGAGTTTACCCTCTGAGCTGTCTTCCAGGAGATAAACTCCTTTATTTTAAACCTCACTAATCAAAGTATACTTTAAAAAATTCTCTGATACTGAAGGGAAAAGGAGGGGGAGTCAGGAAAGATGGCTCAGCCGATAAAGATACTTACACTAAACCTCTCTACCTGAGTTTGAACCCCAGATCCCACATGGTGAAGTTCTCTGACTTCTGCTTGGGCAGCTCCATGCATACACACATAACAAATAAATGTATTCTCTGTGTGTGTGCATCTCTGTTAGTGTTTTTAAAATATATCTTCTAGCCATACAATGAATCTGTATAAATATCATTTATAAATGAGTATTTATACTTCAGAGTATTCTTAACTCATTTGTCATTCAGTAAGATTCCTGCATTTGTGCAGTGGATGTGATGATTTTCTGTGCCCTTAAAATAAAATTTGGGGGCTGGGGACATGGCTGTGTGGTTAGGAGCACAGGCTGCTCTTTCAGAAGACCCAGGTTCTATTACCAGCACTAATGTGGTGACTCACAACTATCTACAACTCCAATTCCAGGAGATCTACTGCTCACTTATGGCTTCTTTGACACCATAAATGCACATGATGCACAAACATACATGCAGGCAAAATGCACATACACATAATATAAAATAATTTTTTAAATAAAAAATTGAGGCTTTGTCATTATAAGTTGAAAGAGATTAAAGTTATTCCTAAATTTAGTAATTATTCATGTTCATTGAACTTTGAAGCAACCATGTTGTTTCCTACTTCAGATATATGTATGTACATACATATATTTAAATATTTATGTTCACTTTTCCAAACCAAGGCATTATTGAAATGATAGGAAAGAAAATGATTGGGAAGGGGTACCCTCCAATAAATGAGATATGTGAACCTATTTTTGAAAGGTAGGAAGTAGGCTATTTGACAGAAGAACTTAGTATAGGCAGAGAGAACTTTAGCGATGTTGGAGAAAGTCTGCTCTGAAGCCCCCAGAATCCAGGGTTATGAGAAGGACCTTAAAAGGTCATGCTAATGGTCTCAAAGTCTGTATGAAGAATAATCATCACGTGAGAAAAATTAATAGCCACTTGTTTCCCCTTTATGTAAGCAAATATTGAAACCAACAGCCTCAGAGAACTGGGCAACGGGAATAAGAATTGGGACCTATGTTTTGTGGCATTTAAATGTTTTGTAGTATCATGACCAGGTCCCCCACTCTTACCATAAAGGAAAGTCTCCCAGTTAGCTATTTAGAAACAAAAACTTCCTACATTTCTTACAGTGAATTTTACATACGAATGAACAATTAATTTCACTGATATTTATATAAATTATCTGTCAGGGAAGAGGGACACCAGGATTAACAAAATACCTAGACCTGGGGGGAAACGACTTCTCTTTTGAGAGGAATAGAAGTTCATTTACAAACTTTAACAACAAAACAAATTCCCTGCATTTAAAAATCAAGAAGCCTCATTGTGTAGAATAGAAAAATATGATTTCTAAAATAAAACATTTAGATAAATTTTGTGTTTAATTTCCTTGAGAATAAAACAAAAAAGATGGAAAACTGATGAGTGACTACATTTACTATTAGAGAGTAATTCCTGGGGAGATTTGAGATCAGATATAATTCCTAGAAAAAGAACAAGGACAATGAAATAGTATTTATAAAGAAACAAAAATTCCTCGAGTCCAAAATCAGCACCCTCCCAATAGAAGGGACTCACCATACATTTAAAGTTACAAATGGAGTTTTAAAAGAGTCAATTTTAAGGTACATATTTGTTTATCCTAGGGATGAAGAGAAATTCATTAAGGTCTTTAGATAGAAAAACAACTTCTCTTAGAAAAGAAAGTAATTACACTTGACTCAAAAATTTTATCAATAAAATCAAATACTGGAAGATAATAAAGTAGTTGCTTTAGGATTCCATAGGGGAAATGATAAACTAGCCAGGGTTTATAAGTAGTCACACTGATAGTGTCAAGACCAGTTAAAGCCATTTGTAGATAGAATAGCTCTCTCTCATTTCTTTTGGTGAAACTTGAGGAAAGAAACTGTAAAGTATATGAGTAAATCAGGAATGGTGGGTGGTGGTGGTGGCACACACCTTTAATTCTAGCACTTGGAAGGTGGGGCATGGGCAGGTGGATCTCTGTGAGTACAAGGCCAGCCTGCTTGGTCTATAGAGAGAGTTCCAGAACACCCAGAGCCACAGAGAGAAATCCTGTCTTGAAAAGCAAACAAAAAAGAGTAAATCAGGAAATACGAACTCTAATAAGTTCTGAATGGATCTGAGAGTGATAATTGTTATTACTAATAATAAGAGAAACACAATTTAAATTGGTTGTAGTTTTTCTGAAAGGACAGGATACTACCCTGGCTAGTTTTGCAACTGTACATTGTAATCTTCGTTATAAACTAAACTAGTTATATGCTATAGTATACATGAATTCAAGTACAGTGATCAATAGTGTTCTCTAAATTAATGACTTGAAACAATAAAAAACTAAGTAAAATACATGAAATTACAGTATAAGTAATGATTTTGCCTCTTCAGTCCCAAACACTAATTATATTATAAATTATATTATATATTGTATTTTCTTTAAGAATCAATAGCAGTAGCCAAGAGTGGTGATGTACAACTTCAATCCAGTACATTGGAGGAAGAGACAGAAGGATCTCTTTGAGTCTGAGATCAGCCTGATCTATAGAGTGAGTTCCAGGACAGCCAGAACTAAAGAGAGAGACCCTGCTTCAAAAACAAAAACAAACAAACAAAATATCAATAATAATAAATGAATGTGAATTGATGCCACTAATAGTTATACAATTCATTATGTTGCAAATTAACTACAACCATAAAACCAGTAGATAAATATCAGTCATCATTTTACTGCAAAACTTAGGAAACAAACCAATCATATTTTATAATATTAATGAGAATAATTTTAAAGTGATGTCTTAGAAACAAGTACAAATTATTTTTTAAGAAAACTAAGTACACTGGAAATACCTTTCAGTAGCTGTCAAACGATTTCATCTTTTTAACTTTTCCTCAGTGAAGTATGTTTATATAGGAGGGTAATATGTCAATTTTAAATAAATCAAAAAAGAAACATAATTGTAGCATGAATTCTAGTTGGTCTTAATAATAAAAACCCAGAGTCAGATATTAATGTCAGTGAATAATGCTGAAGATCAAAGAAGCAGAGAGACCAGTCACTAGAAAGTTCTTTTACCTCTACTAGTGCTCAGATCAAAGGGGCGATTCTGTCCCTCAGATTGCATCTCTCCAGACTGGTCTCCACCAAACTTCAGACTGCAGAGCTCTTGTCTCCTTCTGCTTTATAGTCCCCTCTCCACCCAGCCATATCACTCCTGTCTCCACCCTGCCTAGGGCTGGGATCCCAAAGTGCTGAGATCACCTTTGTGTTAAATCTGTTTCTCTTTTAGATTCTATCTTGTGTAGCCCAGGGTGGCCTTGAACTAACAGAGATCCCTCTGCCTCTGTCTGGGAGTCCTGGAATTAAAGGTGTGTGCCTCCACTCCCTGCCTTCTAGTGGCTTAACTCGGCACTCTGATTTTCAGACAAACTTTATTTGTTAAAACAAACAAAATATCACTACCTACAGTTCCATTTCTTTCCCTTCTTTCCTTGTTCTCCATCTTCCTTCTTCATGCACCCCTTCTTTCCTCCAGTTTTCTTCTTTTTCCCAATAGAAAATAAAGTAGAAACCTAAATGAAAATTTTATAGTTCTGTCTCTATTTTGTTGTTGCTTTATTTATTCTTCATTCATACAATACATCCTGACCACCACCTCCCCTCCCTCTGCTCTTCCCAATCTCCATCCCTTCCTCCTTCACTGCTCCTCCATTTCCCTTCAGAAGATAAGAGGCCTCACAGGGATATCAACTGAACACAGTATAACAAAATGTAATATGACTAGGTACAAACCTCATATCAGGTGACAAGGCAACCCAGTAGGAGAAAAAGGGTTCCAAGAACAAGCAAAAGAGTAAGAGATGCCCCCACTCCCACTGTTATGTTGTGGAATATTTATTTGACTTTGCAAAGATAAGTTACATTTGTTTAATGTAAGGATGTGTTTCATTTGTTTATGTTGCAGAATATTTGTTTAACTATGTAAAGATGTGTTCCATTTGTTTAATTGTGTAAAGATGCGTTACTGTTTTACCTTGTCTACCTAAGGCACCTGGTTGGTCTAATAAAAAGCTGAACGGTCAATAGCAAGGGAGGAAGTATAGGCAGAACTTCTGGGTAGGAAGAGTAATTAGGAGGAGGAATTTATGCTCTGGGAAGAAAGAAAGGGGATGCCAGGAAGATGCCAGGGGCCAGACAGTCAGACACACAGAGGAAGCAGAAAAGTAGAACATACAGAATAAAAGAAAGGTTTAAAGCTCTGATGGAAAATGTAGATAAATAGAAACAAGTTATATTAAGTTAAAAGAGCTAGCGGGACAGACATAAGATAAGGCTGAGCATTTATAATTAAAAAGAAGTCTTCATGTCTTTATTTGGGAGCTAGTTGGTGGCCCAAAGAAAATGCCAGCTACACTGTTATGAGTCCCAAAACATTCTCAAGCTAAACAACCACAATGTATATGCAGAGGACCCAGCAGAGACCCATGTAGCCTCCATGATTGTTGCTTCAGTCAATGTGAGCCCATATGAGCCTTGCTTAGTTGATTCTATGGGCTATACTCTCCTGGTATCCTTCAATCCTCTGGCTTCT